GGGGGGGGGGAGAGGATGGGCAAGCTTGCCTTTTTTTGGGAAGACTGACCACTTGCGAGCACAGGAACTGCTTGGTAGGTTGGTGCCGTGTGCGGGTGTGCGTCGCGAGCACGCCTTTTTCGCCTGAGCGATGAACTTTCGTAGTCGAGTTCTTTCTCCGCTACATGCCCCCACTACGACAAAATGACCGATATACACGAGGCAGTTGGGCGTCGACTTCGGACACCACATCGCTCGTGTTGACGCTCGTGTGCACGTGTGCATCTCCTTGTGAGCTGAAGCGGACGTGCATCTTGCGTGTTTCATAAAGTAGCATGAACCGCGCCAACCGGCTGACCAAAGAAACGACGTAGTGATCATGACGTCCGTGCCAGCGGCTACACCACAATGGTTCCTGGAAACGGGGGCCGAGATCTGAAAACTGCGCAACGTGTTGAATGCGAGTGCCAAAAAGGAATCTCTCTGCATATCCTTGATTGTATGTCTCGTTTCCGTTGCGGTCACGGTGCGAGTATCTGAACAGCCTCCTTGTTCGCGCGCGGTTTGCACGTGTTGTTTGCTCCGGTCGAATGGAAGACGGCAGACGGTAGCTGTGCTGAGAAGTGATGTAGATAGGATAGATGGGCTAGGGAAACGTTTTAGAGCCACCTATTGGCAAAAGTACAGGGGAAACGATTGGTCGTCGGTGATGGGTCCTGTGGGAATAATGCTCCGCCCTCTCGAGGACACGTAGTCAACGGTCCAACCGCTCAAAGACATGCAAAACATGAGAGTACGCCCCCCCCCCCCCCCCCCCCCCCCCCCCCCCCCCCCCCCCCCCCCCCCCCCCCCCCNAAACAGCTGTTGAGATACGACCACCAGGAGCGCCTGACGGCGAAGGACGCGATGGACCACCCCTACTTCCAGGATGTGCGCGCGATGCAGGGGAAGCCGGTCGCGGCGCACAACGAGGCCTCAGAGCAAAGCCGCGAGGCGGCCGCGCAGGCGCAGCAGCTATCCGAGGGGGCGGCGCAGGCAACGTCAGGCAACGCATAACGATAATGACGATGATAATGGTGATGAAATTGGGTCTTCTTTCGTTTTTTTTGCGTCGCATAGATGTGCAATGGGGGTCGGGTGAGGGTGGGGGTCATATGTTCATTCAACCCGCGGGTTTTTGCCTCAAGCGTTAGGCCGTGCTTGGCATGGTGTTGTAGTAGCGAAAAAACAAGGGGGGCGAGCGCTTTGGTCCCGTGCGACGACGGCTGGGACGGTGATAGCACCCGGCGGTGTATCGAGTAGTTCAGCTTTTGTTTGAGTGTGTGTAGGGGGGGGGGGAGCGTTGCTTCTAACAACCTTCCGTCAAGGTCACCACCAGCGAAAAGGAAGAAACGGTTGCCGCAAGGCCCGGCAGCGACTTGACGGTGAAGTTGGCAGTGGCCCCAGGGTTTACAACAGAAAATATTGGCGTGTTCTTTTGTCGATTTCTTGGAGTGATGATGATGGTCTGAGCTACCGTTCATGTTTAACCGCGTGCCAATACCGTGGTTTTCTGGGTATTCTCAAGTGCTTTATTCCAGCCATTCGTTTCTGTCGTGCACATAATGAACAGAGAACCGTTCGAGCCGGTTTTTTTTTCGTCCTGGTCGGACTTCGAGACTCCGCGTGGAGTTTTTTTTCTTTTTCCTGACCGGACTGCCTCATGAGACTCCACGTGTGTCGAGTCTTCGAAGCTTCGGAACTCACGGAGAACAGCATTGTTTCGCGGGATGGGTTGGAAACGGGAGCTGCTAGCCTGGCTTGGCTTGTGGCTTCTACTGTTCCGCGCGTTGCGGCGTGGGACCTGCCGCGAGGCAAGACAGAAACGCGTTAAAGAACGTTTACACCACTTCGAGCGTTATCTTGTATTTTTTGGGGTGGGATGGTGGGGCGTGAACGAAGAGGGAGAGTATCCGTTCCGGGTGGGGAACACACGGCTAACGTGTTCCGATGCTCCCGCCCGCCCCCCCCAGCGGCATGCCATGGTCGTGCACGCCCTGTGCGCTCCCCTTTGTGATTGGAATATGCCAAGCGAGGGCGCGTGCGTGCGTGGTGAGGGTTTCTTCACAGGCAGGCAGGAAAGCAGGCATTCTTCTTTTTTTTTTGCATGCGGGATTGTCGAGTCTACAGCGGGGTGAAGAGGACGAGGGCCGCGGCCGAGAGTTTTCCTGGTGTCGTTCAACACCGACCGGCCTGGTGTGTATTAGGTTCACGTCGCTGGGTTCAGCGTCAGGCATGGTGGTAGTGCATGGTTGTAATCAACGTCATGGATTGTGCATGCACGTGTTCCCCCTGTGGCTGCTGCCGCAGCAGAGTTTGTCGTCGCTGGTTTTCTTTCTGGCAGCCGGGGAGGGAGGTTGCTTGCGGCGGATCCCACCCCGCGTACAACATCTGTCTCGTCCTCTTGCAGTCGACGAGGGCGGAACGACGACGACGTGTTCCACTACCGCGATGATGTATAATTTCACCCCCGACACAGCTACAGTAGTGCCCGGTGTTGAAAATGCGCGTGCTTCTCCGGAAGACCGCTCCGCGGGCCGCACACCATCCGTTCACGTCCGGTTTGGTGAACTTGTCCTCATTACACGGGATGAGACCCCTCCCCTTCAGTGAATTCCGCCTCCTGTGGCGGGCAATACTCGAGGTGTCGGCTTCGCCACCCGCGTACTAGTTGCTTAGCCAATATTATACTTTTAGCCTACACGCCGAGGGAGGCATGCTGCTCCTCTTTGAAACATCTTTTGAGTTTCACCCCAAACCTCAGGCCATGCCCCCGAACACAGATTATTGACTGTGCTCGGGCGATGAGGCACGACCAGTGGACTCCCGAAACTGTTTACTGCATACACCGCCAGAACACACAGGAGAGAACTGGTCACAGAATGAGCCGACCGTTGACTCGGGAAAGGAAAGCGGCAAGTTCCCGGTGGACACATCATGCACGGGGGAAACAACAGCAAACCTGAACACGTGTAACTAGGACGAAGAACACTATGGATGTGCAAAAAATATGTCCAACTCTTACGAAGGATCTGCATTTTGTCCGGAAACCAGAGAATCTTGCAAAATCAGGTAGAAATTCCCGGGCAAACAGAGAGCAGCTGCGGTTTTCGAAATCAACCCTTGTGGTCGCGGAAAGGAACAGCACTGGCTTCCACCTAGAATACATGATAAACCGTGGCCCGCCTGGCACGACTTCTATTTCCCCCCAACTCTGCTCGCTCCCTGCTCCACGGTTCCTATCTTGAGGTCCACCTGCAGCTCTGTAGCGGCTCCGGAAGCTACTCCGTCTTCCATCATGATCTCTATCGGGTATGGTGGCGGCATTTAGACTACTCTTTTGAACACTCGTCGTGGTGATTTCTTCGCGTTCTCGGTGAAACCGTACCGGAGGGCTCCTCCCTTGGTCTGTACCTCCAGCAACCAACCGAATGTCCAGTCTCATTGTCGCGCGCTACATAAAGCGATCGACGAAGAGGAGATGCATGAGTCCAGGCTGTACCGATACTTCGAAACTTTTTGAAGCATCGCGAAGCGATTCCGGCGAGGCGGTTGGGTTGTAACCTCCTTGTGAATCTTTTTGCAAATCGGACCAACGGCAGAGATTCAGCATTGCTGTGATAAACGTCATGTTGATCTGTTGTGCATCCTCTTGAACATCGAATACCGCTCAACGCTGCGAGCGACCTCTTGCGACAAGATCTTCACTCCTCGCGTTGGAGGTGCCAAGCGGCAGCGAGGACATGGTCCGCATGTCCATTACTGTTTCTGACCACAGCTATTTTGTGTTCTATTGGCTTTCCTCATCTTCATCGCCTTCTTCCTCCTCTTCGTCCTCGTCCACTTCGTCCTCCTCTTCTTCCTCGCAATCGTCTTCCTCCCCGCCTGACGACGATTCGTCTTCACTGCCGTACTCGTATGATTCGTTGTCGTCATCGTCATCGTCGTCGTAATCATCATCATCGTCATCGTCGCCCTCCTGCCGATATGCGCATACGCATGACGCACAGCAAACGACACAGCACAGGCCTTTTGGGTGGAGAACGTATGGTTCGGTCTCGTACGCGTACTCTTCAAACGCAGTACTACGTACAGTAATTCTCCCCCCGCTAGACTATATAACTCCCCACGGACACCCTACATTTCTGTCTTATCTACTGCAAACATCCCAACGTCTCAAAGTACATATTTCGCCCCATCGTTCGTTTGTCGTTGGGTTTGTTTTATGTGGAAAGAACAACGCTACAAATATCAATATACGGGCAGGTTTAGTACAGTACAGTATTTTTATTCCAGTATTTAACTGCGTACTAAAACGTCCAGTACAGTACAGTACCGAGAGCCGTGCTGCCAGTACAGTATATTCCAGTATCGAGAGCTGTACTGAAGAGTGCAGTATTTTTATTCCAGTATTGAAAGCTGTACTGAAGCGTGCAGTATTTTTATTCCAGTATCGAAAGCTGTACTAAAATACTGGCAGTATTCCACCAGTATTTTGCAAGCACCTAGGCACTATGTACGCTCGTTGGAATGCCCCCCCCCCCCCCTCCCGCCCGATACTCCCTCGACCCTCTGTCTTGGCGGTCATGACTACTCAGCACCGAAAAGCAAGATCAAAGAGCAGAAGATGAATGGCACCTTTCAATCCTCCTACACTGATGACTACCCATCCACGATAACGATATCGCCAACAGCAGACGACATGTTGGGAGGTGTCTTGTCTTCCAGCGGATCAAGCGCCATCTCTGCGCTGAGTAGATCTTGGTCTGTTCCCTTGAACCTCGCAGGGAGGCACTCCCTGATGCTGTTCGACTCGATCCTGGGGATGTCATCGTACTTGGGAATACAGTGGATGTTCACTTTGAGGAACAGCATCAT